ATCTTTAACCTTTGGAAGTCTGATCCAAAGAGGGAGAGGTTAAATATTACTGGTGATATCAGTCCTGGATTATTCATCACAAATCAATCTGAGAGCATTGCATTGTGGGATAAACTACATCACTGAACATGAACAGCACATTTTGCACAAGAGAAGTAGGTACTAGGTATTCCATGTGAACAGAAAATTCAGATAAATGTACATGTATGTACTACATACTGCAGAAATATTAATAGTACAGTATAGTAATATCACACCCTATACACACACACACAGAAATGTGTGTCTCATCTAAACAGCTGACTGAAGAATGACATCATCATGACTCCTGGTGATGTCATCACATCACGCTGACAAACACACACAGTCACACACATCTAAAACACACTGATGGACGCGTTTCTGATAGAAAGACAATTAATATTCAGTAATATTATCAGATTTAATGCACTGATGCTATTCGATGAGATCAAAATTTGACCCGAATTTAGCTGAATAATGACACTATTGTCTTTAGCTGAAATTAAAACAGTGTAACAAATAATCAGAGCTCTAGTTATAAGTTAAAACTCAAAAAAAGGGGAAGAAATTAGATCATTCAAGGAATATTGTGGTCTAATAGCAATATCTAAATACACTATGCTCATGTCACCAGCAGGGGGCAGAACACTGAAGATAATGAGCTGGTTTGTGTTACAAAGCAAGATTGCATTCGAGATATATGTCACTTCCTGCTAAAAAATTGCGATTACAATTGCACAATCAATTGTAAATTAGTAAAATAATAAAATGCCACAATGAGCCTTAAAACAAGCCTTTTATAACAAACATTATATAACAGATACACAAATATCTAAATCACAAATTATCAACACGGTCATGTGAGTAAACACTAATCTTTTCCATGCAGAACACGGCCGATTAGACAGACTCTGTCCTGATCCTGGGATTTAAGGCCAGATTTCACAACAAACAGTGTTTCACACTGATCATCCTGACTGATGATTCCTGAGCCTGTCATTCAGAAAATTGTCTGAAACCAAAATGCAAAAACTTTGGGTTTTAAAACACATGGAAATATTCTGAGCTCTGACATAAAAAGTGACTGTGGCTTAAGAAACTGTTGCCGTATTAAAGACTGTAAGGAAGTTCAACTTCATAATCCTCATTAAGACCGAATGAGAGGAATGTGAGAAATATTCACTGACTGAATGGACGTTACATAACCAAACATTGTTCAATATGTATGGTGTGGTTCACAGTTCGTTATAATCCTGATTTGACTAAAAGATGCAAAAGGAATCACTACAACAATAATGCATGATCTATAAACACTTCATTTAAATAATACAGCATTTTTTATCATTACATAAATGAGAATTTGAAGATTAAATCTGCTTAATTGTCATGAAAACAGCCACAATGGGGGAAAAAATTGAATGGTCCTAAATATAGTTTTCCTTTTGTTAATTAAAAATATAATTTCATCATTTGATTTTGGGGTGAATCACCCTAAAGCTTCTTTATGTGCATGTGTGCAGATGTTACAGTGCATTAATACATCAAACAAATGATTTTTATGATCCTATTAGGCAAAAAAAAACACAATATCTGATCAGCAACTTTCATTTTCCAGCCAAATTATTCTCTAACCTACTTTTAAAGTGTTTCGTATGAAGTGACGAGTAGTTTGACCGACCAGAAGTAAAAAAAAAAAAAGTGTCCTATTTCAGCGGTGTGTCCAATCCAAAGCCGCTTATTTTTGCGCAGTAGTGTGTGTGTGTGGGCTGATCTCAAAATGCAAGTCCCCCACACACTTTCACTCTTACGAAACACACACAAGACGCTGTAAACACACTGTTTCTCTTTCCTGAAACAGCGCAGAAAGACCATATTAAACTGCACAAACCTCCTTTAGATTGGATGGTGTGGGACATCTAATGCTGAAGCTGATGCCCGTCTCTCTCTGATTCACAAGCACAGGCCTCTATTCACCGCAGGCATGTTAATTGGCAGCTGAGAAATGCAGGACAAAAGCAACATTCAGCTGAAAACACACACATCGGAGGAAACTGAGGCTCATTTTCTCTTCATTACAGCTACTGTTTATGAAGCACAAACTAATCGATTTTAACACCATTTTATTTGTGTGTTTGAAAAGTCAAGCATTATTATTATTACTAGTGCTCATTTTAACTTCAGCGTTTTACTCGACTTGCATCTGGTATGAAGATCTGTCTCAGTTCATTAATTTGTTCATTAAATAGAATCGTTTGTGTGGTTTCTTTGGCTATGTTCATGGTGAAAGCTATACATGAATTATTCAAATTTAATAGAAGATATTCATGACCCGTTTTTCCGTATTCGGAAAATTTGTATTAACTTGATAAAAAAAAAGTATTAGTACTTTCCTCAGACGAGTAGAATTATTGCAATCCACTCGAGTTATTAAATTTGATAATAGATACTTACAATATATTTAAGATTTAAAATTCTAAAACTAAATTTGGATTAATTTGATTAAAAAAACATTTAAAAAATTTCTGAGAGAAGTACAACTATTGCAATCCTACTGTACTGTATAAAATATCTAACTACAAGTGTAAATGGGGTCTAAAATGATAAATTTGCATGATGTTAAGAATGTGTCAAGTCATACATTAGTCTGAATTGATCTAAAATTAGATTTTTTTATGCAACTGACTTTAATAAAAGTTATGACCTTCAAGAAAAAAAATGAGATGATTAACTTGTAATACTAGTGTAAGCGGGTTATGCAACAGGCGGTCAGAAATGCATGTGACCGGACAAGCAATCACAGTATATTAGGGAATTTGTGCAAACTTTGCTGTGCAATGTGCATTTTTATTTTGTGCATTATATAGGCTAAATAACTACATTGATGCATGTTATGTTAGTCACAAAATCAGAGACCGTCCCCTTAAAGTTAGAAATCTGATCACAAGTGGTCACATTTGAGATGTAAATACAGGTGTAAAGGTGATAACGGGAACATTTTCCTCTGAAAAGCCTGAATGTGAGAGTAACAAACGCTATCAGAAAATCGCTAAACGTGCAAAAGACCCTGAAGTTGTGTGAATGTAAGAGTATCAAATATTGAGTTCATGATCATGAATACTTCAGAGCACTTCAGATACCTGAGACGTGAAACTCGCATGAACCGAACCAGCAAACGGGCCGTTAAAACAGCATTAATATGCTAATGATGTTGATTCCAAGTCGCAGCCCATATGAGCTGAAGAAACATCCAGCTTAAGACACACAAGATGAGCTCAAGACATTCAGAAGATGCTAAAACTCACACCTGAATAGAAACGAGTGCGACTATCAGACGAAACACTGGATCCTCACATGCATTAGATCACATCATCACACAGACACAAACCCTTGCACACATCTTTAACACACCTGCAACACACTGGGGAAACACACCGGACTAAACGCAGTAATGTTCATGAGATCTTACCGTCCCCTGCTGTCATGACGGAGGCTTGCTTTGAAGAAATGAAGCTCTGCTGTGTCTTGTGACTGAACACACACACACACACACACACTGCATCTGCAGCGACTCCCTCTCTCCTGACCTCACTCACATTTAAAGGAATAGTTCACACGAAAATGAAAAGTCTGTCAAATCTGTTATCTGAGCATAAATGACAATGACATTTCAGGACTTTGATGGAGTGAAAGAGCATCAGTGATTAAAAAGCCTGTTTACAACAAGGGCGATGACTATTATGATAAAGATATAGTATTACTGTAAAATCATTCTAAATACAGAAGAATAGCAGAGTTCACACCATAACTATAACGATAACGGCACAAGGCAAGGCAAGTTTATTTATATAGCACATTTCATACACAATGGTAATTCAAAGTGCTTTACATAGAAGAAATTAAAAAAATCTAAAGAAATTACAATAATTAAAACAGTTTAGAATAGAGAAGTTAAAACAGAGAAACGATATAGTTGGAATCACTTTTTTACAGCTGATGAACAATAAAAACATTGGCAATCAGAATCCATCCTCGAGCTCGAGCATTTAAAGCGACAGACGACAAAACTGCAGCGCTTATAATAAACAGGAGGATATCGTGCGCTGGTGTGGACGCTAATATAGGTATCGTTCTTGGCAGGTTTTTTTCTTGAAGGTCATAACTTTTATTAAAGTCAGTTGCATAAAAAAATCTAATTTTAGATCAATTCAGACTAATGTCACCCTGACAAAGGCATAAGCCGCAACGCGTATGTCTATCTGTCACCAATTTTATTGATAAAAGCCATGATCAAATAAAGGCTTTTTAACTTTTTTTCTACACAATTCGAGTGCCTTGGAGTATTAATTTGTTTTTATGCAGGCTCGCCCATTTCTAATCTACAGTGAATATTTGTATTTAGTTATTGCAATTAAAAATGTAAAGTTTAACCAGAGTAAGGTGTTGGGGGGTGCTTGAGAGATGTCAAACCCTATGGGGTACATGCTGCAAAAAGTTTGGGAACCACTGCACTAAACCATGGTGCAATTATAGGATGATTGACACGAAACATTGTGGGTGCTTGACACTTTTGAAACAGTCATCACTTCTGCCATTTATATGTCTGTAAGTGCATATGGATGTATTTTTTTTTTCATATGCATAATGTACTGTAGAAAGGGAAAACGTATTCCTGTTTGTAAACTGTGAAATGCTGATGAACGAAGTCTTTCCACATTCCACCGTCTCGAACGAAACCAAAACTACGGTCACAAAACACACACACAAAATCACACGCACAATGAAACTGGGGCAGCGAGGAAACAATAGCTGAACAACGGGAACAATCTCACCAGCGAGCAATTCACACACATAGAAGAAACCTCAGTTAATGCCCCAGTAACTTCATATAGCACCTGAACGCGCTTTTAAAGCCGACAGCATCTGTTCCTGCTCACACACACATCACTGCGAACACGTCAAACAAAAGCAGGTTCACTCACCTGTGGACAGGATCATGTTCCCAGACCTCTGGACTTCATCAAACCTGCTGAAAATCACATTCAACCTGAACAAAACAAACAGGAGACAAGCTTAATACAAGGTTAAAAAGAATATTTCAAACACAAATATACACTAACACTGTCACTATTTTATTTGTAACAGAAAACAGCTGAGAAAAATGAAATGTGTTATTCCAAAATAAATCATAAAGGGATCAATAATTCTTATACATTTAAAAAAAAAAAAAAAAATCAATTGAAGAAAATACAGTATGTTTTGTAAAATGTTGATGGCAGTGTTGTCAAGATGCAGTGATTTTAATAATAATTATATCTATATATCTAATAATAATCAAGCTTTGAATGTTGTTTATATATGTTTATATGTCTATGTGGTGTTTAAGACAAACCATGTGTACATTCATCAGTCAACAGGATTGCTGGGTATTTTTTCCTTAAAACTGCAGTGAACCAAAGACGGTCTCAAAAAACGCCCGTTTTCTACTGTCACAAACATGTGACCAATCCCGTCACAAGGGGGCGTGGCTTTTCTCCACTGACTTTCTATGACGAACGATGCTGATTTTTAGAAGGCAACTGTGTTCAAACATATATGGCTGAATTTACATTAACACTAACATTTACACTTGCTATTGTGTCGTGTTTACTACAGTTGAGCGAGTGGATCAGGTAATCCGAGCTGCTGTGAGTGAGTGGAGGCGGGGCTAATTTGTATATTCATGAGTCCACGTATACTAAATTAAGTAAGGGTGTCGAGTTACATTCAAGCTATTTTAAGGCATGAAGACGGGAAAAAAACGCTTAAATATGTAATTTTGATTCTCAAAGATGAGTTTTAAGGGATAAAGTTATTGACTACAGGAGGACTGTAATGTGGTTGTATTACCGTGACTGAGGGAGTCCCTTTTTCCCCAGATCCATCCTCACTCTTTCTCCCACATGTCTGTAAATCTCCACCAGGCAGTTCATCGCACCGTCTCGAACCTGAGGGGGAACATATTTATTTATTCATTTAGAAGAAATTCATTTACATAAAAAAAAAATACAGTACATTGTAAAACACAGAATAAAACAAATGCCACATAGAGATACTGATCTACCTATAACTATGTTCAAAAGTACTGCATAATGCACAGTATACACCCCACGATTGTTTTTAAACATTACCACCGACACACACACAGTCCGGTGGGAGAGAACAAAGTTTTCAGTAGTTGTGGAACTCCAGTAAATCAAGGCTATTTTATTCACTTTAAACATCGGATGACGTGATTATTTTCTCTTTAATATAGATGATGCTGCATCATTAATAAATCATGAAAAATAAATGTATTTATGATAACCAATGTACTTTTGTCACCGATGTAGTCCTACTCGCTATGTTAGCGATTATAGCATTTACCCTTGTTTTATGCAGTCTATACGTTTACTTTAACTTGTTTAAAACCGTTCCCTCACACACACCCATAAAGTGTACGCATACACACTACGTGTGATTAACGTTAGACTAGTGCGGGTGCGCATTTAGATTTCCACACTTTCATTGTGTGATTTAGTCGGTTTATATCATATTTAATCTAATCTAATATCACACGAAGAGTGCAGTTTTTCCCCAGATATTAGCATGATAACAAATGTGATTTTGAATATTTAGTCAGCTTTTTCATTGAACCAGAGAGAAACTTTGACGAGAAGGATAATGGCACGGTCTCCATGCTACACTAATAATAGTAGTAAGTACACATATCCTTAGAAAGTACAATTTTGCCTGTGTTATTGGTGTCCCCTTAAAAAATTGCTCTTGAGAAATGTTATGTTTACTGTCCCCCCAACATTTAGATGATATTTACGCCCCTGCATCGCTGTCACCGTCACTGTGAACAGCAGCAGGACTGAAGGAAGCCATTGGCTGCAATGGCGGTTTTAACCTTCCTTGTCTGGGGGTGGATTGGGATGTTCAATGAACGTGTAGTGAGAACAGCCCTGCTAACACCTAACCAACACACCTCGCATCACTTGAGCTACCCAGTTCAGGCTATGGTGCAATTTTTGGAAACCTTCATATATTCCAGTAACAAAGAAAGAAAATATTAAAGGGATCATATTATGCCATTTTTGTACAAGCTAGTATGATTCTTTAGGGTCTAAATTAAAAGTTTGTAATATACTTTAATTAAAAATTCTCATTAGTATTGTAAGAAAACACTTATTTTACCTGGTCAAAAACAGCTCTGTTTTCAGCATGCCATTTCAGTGCATATGCCTTTAAATGATAATGAGCTTTGCTGACTCTGCCCCTCTGTTCTGTGTGTACACCGTTTGAACACAATAACCATAACGCGTTGTTCATTATAAACGTGGGATTATGAATTATATTGAGAACGTCGTACATAGAAAACATGCCGTAATGTACCCTGAGTGTAAACCTTAGACCCATTCAGCGTGCAAGCGATTTGCAAAGATTAATATAAATATTAATATAAAGGTTCATAAAACGTTACACTCACTTCAGTTGTTCTAGAGGTTCAGCAGCAACACTAATAGCTGGTACCGATCCTTTATTCAGGAAGCTTCTTAGCAAAACCAGCTTTATACTGACCCTCGTTTATAAAGCAGTCTGGTGTGAAATGATTCGGCAAACATGAGAGCATTGACGTTGCTCGTGGGGAATATTCCCTTCGAAAACAAACTCAGCCACTGCGTCTTCAGCGGTTCGGATTTAGGAACATTAAAATGACTGTGTTCGTGATTACACCCAAGAACAGAACACCACAATCGCTTAGACGCCATTCTGCTCATAGACAGTGCTCCAGCATATCAACAATGACCGCGCCGGTCCGCGCAGACTATGATTGACAGCTCTCACGAGCGAGGGCGGGTCTGTGTTGAAACGCTGCTGTCAATCAACAATCGTGGGAGGGGCTTCCGAGCGAGTGACGTCACACGGTCGAACGGCTCGATTTGAGGCAGGGGAAAACATATAAGGAGATTAAAACAAAAACACTGGATGGATTTTTATCATTTTATGATGGTTGTGTACAGGCACTGCCAACACACATTTCAGTACAATCAACTTGTAAAAGTGCATGTACCATTATATGACCCTTTAAAATAAAAGCATCAGCTTCCTCCTTTCAGTATTTGAGCTTGCACACAGACAGCCATTTACTCTATACTGAACACATACATGGCATAACATGATCAGCAAATGTATAAAAGTGTCAAAATATATATATAATGATGTAGTTAATTAATAACACCCCACAACACATGAAAACCCCATATGTGGGATTTTAAAATAGCCTTGATCATTTCTGATCTACCATTAACTATGTTCAAAAGTCCTGCTCAATGCACAGTATACAGCCCACGATTGTTTTTTTTAAATATATGTGAAACTGTACACAATATGCAATACTAAACAATTGTACACGACTTCACTATACTGCATCAAGTAATTAAATATATATATGTTTAAATTAGGCCTGTCACAATCATACATTTTATGCATACAAATAATTGTGAATAACATTAATTCTGTGTTCATGTCACTTGTATATTTTTATACTTATATAATATAGTATAAAAATAATAAAATAGACCCATGTGATTTACTTTAATGCTGTGCAAATTAATATTAATATAATATAATCTTATTAAACCCACACACCTTTTTTGTGCAGTGTTTTTTATAATATTTGGTAAAAATGTATTTGAAATTTAAACTGAACAATTAATACGGTTATCTTAAATTATTGCAATCAGATTGAATATTACAATCAGATGACTAATCAGTAATCCAGACAGTCCTAGTTTAAATAGTTAAAGAATAGTTTGTTTAAAATAATACATGAAATATACATATAAAGCTCAAATAAAAAGACTAAAGTTGAGTGCACAGTGGTTTTTCCATATATATCCCTTTTTAAGTAGCATGTAAATATGGTAACCATTCATTCAGTAATGTTATATAATCAAATGAGCATGTTTATACCATCTCATAGTCGCCTCAATGTCAGTCGCAGTCCCTAGGATCGCCAGCAGGAGGAGCCATAGACCACCACACTACAATCCCAGCCATCTCATGACACCGAAAACAGAATAAAAGTCTGTAGATGTGAGGAAAAACACTCTCACCTGACTAGTGGGGTCTCCCAACAAATGACAAATGTGAGGAACAATCTTGCTAAGGGTTAAGCCGTGGGCTCCATATCTGCAGCACAAAGGAAAAAGACAATTACAATAAAATAGAATTTTAAATTAAACTAAACTGTAAATCTGACGGATGCATACACATTAAGAGTGGAAATAAGGCAAAAGCAAACAGCTTCTCTGGTCCTGTTGTTTTTATGTCTGAAGCCGCCCAGCATTCGGTCCCAAACATACTGAAAAAAAAATGTTTTTATCAGTTTTAACCACAGTTTAAAAATAGTTTTACTTTAAAGCAGGACAAAAGTGTTTCACCTGTGGATTGGCCGCTTGGTCCATGATTTTTAACAGAAGTGACTGTGCTTGATCTCGAACCTGGTCCTTAGAATCACCTAAACGATCAATTAAACTGGGCAGAACTGAGAGAAGAAGAAACAACACTTTATATAATAAAAGATTATTAGCATCTGCATTGTTCTGAGAATCAACAAACGTATGAAAATGCATATGTTTATTTATAATACATATTATTATTAAATAATTCACCTGTTCCTATTTGTGTTTTGAAGCGTTCCTGTAGTCTGGTCACTAGAGCGGACACTATGTCCATTCCCAGCAGAGCCACCTTAAAAAGACAAAACAATATTAATCTAAAAATAAGATAAGATAAAAGTAGGATATTTTAATAAAAAGATCAATAACTTGCATTACAAAGGACATTCAGTAACATTTTAAAGTCAAAACCGCACTGAAAACTCTTTTTTTGAAAGTCGGAGAGTGTATGCAAATTCCAAGAGCAAAGGATTATGGGTAATGCCAACTGTACTGGATTTTAATGTCAGATAATCACAAAAATAAGAGTCCTTTGTGGTAAATAATCACTGAATCCTTTCAACTAAAACATAGTCAATCAAACAAGCACAAAATATCACATAAACAGCAGTGTTTCTCGTTCATCGCTGTCACCATCACTGTGAACAGCAGCAGGACTGAAGGAAGCCATTGGCTGCAATAACGGTTTTAACCTTCCTTGTCTGGGGGTGGATTGGGATGTTCAATGAACGTGTAGTGAGAACAGCCCTGCTAACACCTAACCAACACAACTCGCATCACCTGAGCTACCCAGTTCAGGCTATGGTGCAATTTTTGGAACCCATTACATTCACCAGTAAGTAAAATCAGAAAGTACTCATATCAAAGTAATAACTCTCATTGCCGGACGTACATTTTAAATCCATCTCATTGACTGTATGCAATTGCATGATTAGCCAATGCATAAAAATTGTCATAAAAAAAGATATTATAATAAATGAACTTGCCTAAATGAATCAAATAAAAATATATTGTGATTATGGCACTGAACTGCATTGCATTGTTCACCAGCAATGATTGCATGTTTTGTTCAACTGTTTTGAGGTATATACAAAAAATTGGAATTAATTAGCAATTAATTAATTTTAATTTTCTTTATCTTTGAATCTATGTGTTTTTACACTTAGATTATAATTATATGCGACTATTATCTAGACTCTGGCGGCCTGATATAGTCTAATCTCTGCCGCCAACAGTTTCATAATGAACTGAAAATATTAAAAAAACTTCTCATAATAACATAAAATGTCTCTAATGTTGCTTTGGTAAAGTATCTGTAAACGAACTAAAAATCTAAAGCGCAATATGGCTTTGTGCCCTTATCAAATGGCAACAGACTGTGATTTAAATAAAGTAACTTTTGCGCTGCGTGTTTCAGAGCGTAGTGAACACTTGTGATCCCGTGTTTTCCGCGTCTCAGAGCGGCTCAATCTGCATATGTTGAATTTAGCATGAATTTACCAGTTATATACATTTGCATAATTTCAACATTTTTGTAGGAAGTTGATTACTAGATTTGTAATGAGACCGTTTGTAAAGGTGTTTTCCCGCCAAAATAATAGTTCAACTGCAGTTTGCGTCAAAATAAAAGCTCAACTAAAGTTTACATCAAAATTCCTTCAAAATAAAAGTTAAACTAAAGTTTGCGTCAAAATAAAAGCTCTCAACTAAAGTTTACGTCAAAATTCCTTCAAAATAAAAGTTAAACTAAAGTTTGCGTCAAAATAAAAGCTCTCAACTAAAGTTTGCTTCAAAATAAAAGCTCAACTAAAGTTTGCGCCAAAATAAAAGCTCAACTAAAGTTTCCATCAAAATTCCATCAAAATAAAAGCTCAACTGCAGTTTCCATCAATATTCCTTCAAAATAAAAGCTCAACTGCAGTTTGCCTCAAAATAAAAGCTCTCAACTAAAGTTTACGTCAAAATTCCTTCAAAATAAAAGCTCAACTAAAGTTTGCGTCACAATAAAAGCTCAACTAAAGTTTACGTCAAAATTCCTTCAAAATAAAAGCTCAACTAAAGTTTGCGTCACAATAAAAGCTCAACTAAAGTTTCCATCAAAATTCCTTCAAAATAAAAGCTCAACTGCAGTTTCCATCAAAATTCCTTCAAAATAAAAGCTCAACTGCAGTTTTTGTCAAAATAAACATTTGGAAGCTTGTTTCCGCCACTGAATAAAAAATAAAAAAGGTAATTGCAAATTTTTATCTTTTTATTTGGGGTTCATGTCCACAGACCCCCCAAGAGGAACAGAACTCCATCCCCATAGTCTCACAAAATCCTGTAGGAAACACTGCTATATATAGGGTTGCATGAACCAGATGCATGCTTTCTACACAACATTCAGTTGTGGATTACATGCCACATTTAAATAACCACATGGCTTTATTACAACATTAGAATGTTTATTCCATCACATTCGTCCTAACTGTGACTTTGAGCATGTGTGAGGTAAAATAAGATGGCCCGTGTTGCAGTGGGACCCCTCGCTGTCCTCATTACAGAGAGTGGGGTGATTACTCTCGGCTGGGTTTCCAGGCCAGCTGTGGGACGAGCGCTCTGATTGGCTGAGGAGACTCAGGCGTTTGTGAGCCGTTAAAAGGAGTTTAGAGGTGTGATGAACACATGCACATTAACTCTTGCACAATGCACATTAATTCATGTTTATTAAGAGCTTATACTTCATCACAGATCTATCAAACTAAAGACTGATTATCGATTCGATTTATCTAATTAAAAGGTCTTTTATTCCCCATATGTCTCTGAGAGTGTCATTACAGTAACATTAGTACAGCAGCGCTGCTATTACAAATGCATCACTCATGCTGAACTACATTCACTGTACTAGCCACATCTTTTGATGACTGCGAGTGAAATCCGTGGGATGGATTTCAATATGTGCATTAAAGGGATAGTTCACCCAAAAATAACCTCATGTTGTTTCAAACTTGTATGCAATTCTTTCTTCTGTAGAACAGAAACTTGGGCTGCAAAATGAAAAAGATGCATTGACAAATAAGCTGGAAGAAGCGCTGATTTTTATCCTGATTTCACTCTGCATGTGTTTTATGAACTTTAACCCTTTAAGTGTCACCCCCCTTTTTTTGAATATACATGAAAATGCACATTTCGAACTTAAATGGTTGTAATTCAAGAATGCTTTGGAATATAGACGTAAGATTGGTCTCGTTTTAAAGAGGACATTTGGCAGATTTTTGTTGAAGTGAAATAAATTAAGAAAGTGAAACAGAAAAAAAGTTATAGAAGTTTGAGTTTATGAAAATGTACAATGTAAAAAATTTAATTATTCATATTTTATAGAAAATATATATTTTCAAAACCTGGGCGACTCTAAAACTGCAAAAAAATCAAAGTAAAAAATCTGAACAAGTTGTGTTTCAAATTTTAGGTTGATATCTCAAAAAATGAGCTTTCAGTGAGATTTTGTTTGGGCGCAGTACCGAACGCTTCCACTAGGGCACAACCAGACCTGCCCATATAAGGGCGCCTCCATTTCCATATGTGTTTTGAGTGATATGAACCATTATTTCCACAATTTTCATACAATTTATGAAGTAGACATTCTATTCAGAAGTAATATGAGAAGTTTGGCAGATTTTGATATGAATTCAACCTCTAAGAAACACATAAAAAGAACAAGTATGTGCGTTATAGCTCGCTGCCACATCACAAATGGTGAATCTATCATTTTTTTCTTTGTTTTCTAAAATAATTGAATGGATGCTATCTTTTGAACTCTTGGCATGAAAACAAACTGAGGTTTCTACCCTTCTTTCATGATTTTTCATGTTCATCACTATTTCAAAATAAAGGTCTAAACACGCCTTAGGAGTATGAAAATATTCTTGTTGCAAATTGATAAATTATGGCTCCTCTGTAATTCATTTTGAAAATTAATCACCAAATTGTGAGATTGTAAGCTTTCAAATGATATATAGTTTGTCAAGATTAGTTTAGGTTTAGTATAGGATATTACTGTTTTAAAAATGTAATGGATTTGGGCCGGTGACACTTAAGGGGTTTTGCATCTGTAGATCAAAGACACAACAGCTGGAAGAGAGTACTAAAACGACAACGACCGGATTCACGTCACTTTTGTACAATTTTTGCACTTTTGCATCCCCACTGAGACCTAAGCTATCGGGAGTGACACGACAGTTTACACACAAATGAGAAAATCATCCTCATCTTGACCAACTTAACACAGCCAGCACACTTCAGTCTCTTACTAGGGATGGGCGCATCGATACAAAGTATCGATATATCCATACTGACGTCGAGTATCGAAAGTATTGATAATACTCAAATAAAAATATCGATACTGCAGTTTTTTGGGGTTTTTTAGCAGTGATTTTGTTTATTTGACAAGAAGTTTAATGCATACAATATGCAATGAATTGGATGAATAACCTGTTTAGTAAATAATTGTGTAGTATAACTATTTTCCTGCTTATCTGAACACACGCAAATGCTGCAAGTCAGAAGCAATCAATCACAGAGAGTGTTCACACACTGCCGACAATGCATTCAAACAGGGCTGCGTTTCCCAAAAGTATCACAAGAAACCATTGATGCTCATGGGAAATGCAGCCCAGATGAACAATGCTTAACAGAAGACAGAAACACATCATATGTTTGAGCAATTTCACAATAAACTAATTTAAATTGTAGCCTACATAGTTTGTGCAAATAAATTATTTTTTGAATGTTAAAAGTTCATAGCTCTATTCTGTAACTAATTTTAATATACAATCATACACTGTCAGAATAAAAAAGGTTGTATTTTATGGGTGCAACAGCCGGTCACTGGCAGTCCCTTATGAAAATTAACATTACAGTGATCATAGTTTAACTAGGCCTATAATATTTTGTAGATTTACCACTACAAGTAAACATTGTAACCACGTGTAAATAAAAATATAATCTAATAAATTCCAATTAAGGCGTATCAAATGTTAAAATGCCTTTAAAATATAATGTTAAGTCTGTATCATTACCCATTATAATCTTATTAATTCAATAATTTAAGAAATTTTCAAATTTAAAAGTTCAGTTTAGAAGTATCGGTATCGTATCGAAAACAAAATAAGTGGTATCGCCCATCCCTATCTCTTACAAACACACACAATCTCCACTTTAAAACACTCTTCAAGCACTCCTGCCATCTGTCATTGGTCAAAAAGATACAAAGAAACAAAAGAAAACTGAAAGCTCCGCCCCCAATCTCACGCC